TCTCTATAGGTCCCTTCCAACCTCAACCATTCTGAGACAAATAATGTCACACATACCATGGAATTTTTGAAAAGAATAGTTTATGCTATGTAGTGGTCTGACCAACCTCCAAAAATAAGTATTCTGGATGGATTTGAAGAGAGTATTTGAACAGATCGAAACACAGGCTGCAAAGGTTCACAAGGGTTTGTGTGCAAATAATAATAGCCAAATAATAACCCTTATATAAATTGAGAAACTTTGAGGTTTTTTCAATTTCATTCTACAGAAATTTGAACAGTTCAGTTAGATCCCATGATAAAAATCATAGTGCAATTCTTTCTTTATAGCTTTGAAAATTGCTATATTACAGTTCTCTTGATCACAGACATCTGCGTGATAGGCTTCAAGGGAAAATGCTCATCTAAAAAACACAAATTTCTGACCAGAAATGTAGTTCTACTATGCTTACAGGAAACGGATATTGTAACAACTAAGATACATTCAGTGTTAAAATTATTTTTCACATTCATTTATTCATTCTGTGTTGTTGGTATATATATATATAGACACCATATATATTTGATATATAGTTCCACTGCAACCAGAGATAACAACATACATGGATCATCTGGACAGAAGTCCACCTCCAGCTCACAAAAATTCACACACAACAGATAATATCTGCATCAGACATGCAATTGTTACTTTAAGAGAAAAACTCAACCATGACTATGAAATGGGAGCATATTGGTTTGTGACACAAGTTTATCATCTTTCATCTTTTCACTGGCTATGTGTGGGAAGAATCCAGGTTCATCTTCTCTACAATCACTCATGAGGTAGTTGAAACCTCCTGTTTTCCAGGAAAAATAAACTCAGCCCTTGCAGTGTCTTCTCACATATGCTATGTATCAATGTAAATAATCTAATTCTGCAACTTCCAAGCACTGCAAGAGTTAGTTGGCAGGAGCCACAGTCATCCACAGAACTTGACCTAAACTCAATCCAATCTCTCAAACCAACAAGCCTCTGAGGCACCTGCTCACTGTCAAATAGCTGACAATCAAATATTGCTAAAGAAAGTCAAGACACCAAACGTCACCTAATAAAACACTTGCATCACAATGACTGCATAAAAACTAATTTCTCTTTCATGAGAAAATAGAGAATGGGGAAAGAAAATAGCATTTTAAAAATGCTAGAGAAGTCCTTTTGAATTCAAGGATTGTTTAGAGGTCTTCCAGTAGGAATGCCAGCATTGAAGAGAAAAAAACAGGAATTCATCTAGATAGTGACATGAAGGTGAGTTAGTAGTTCAAGGATGTCCAGGTAGCCAGCACTCTCCAGAGCAAAATGAAATAGCCTAGCCAAAGAATCTTGTAGTGCCTACTCAGAAGTACTAGAGCACTGAGTCAAGAAACAATAACCCTCCCCTGTGTAGCAGAGTGTGCTAAGACTGAATTTTTGCATTCAACATTAAGCAAAACATTGTCAAGCAGGTACTGGGGAAAGAATTCAAAGAAGAAGAAACCAAAAAGAAATAAAAACAGCACACAAGGAAGAGGTAGGAGGCACAGAGTTAAAGAACAGAAACCATAATATTGCAGAGTGTAAACGATCCAATAAGGTGACAAAGGACCAAAATAATTTCACTTTATTTGGATGAATAAAAAACAGAAGAGAATTAAGAACAACTGCTGCTGAAATTCAAAACTGAAATAACTTCCTAAAGGTTGCAAATGCACAGTAGCTGATAAAACAGCAAGAAGTTTAGCTTAGGTAGAAATTTAGCAGCAGTTGTTCTTAATTCTCTTCTGTTTTTTATTCCTTTTTAGGAAGGATATTCTTCCTAACTTAGAAGATGATTTTGAACTTCTGAATCAGATCAAAAAAAAAAAACTGAGAATGCTTTGAAGCAATTTAAAGGATAAAGACATTATTTTAATGTAGTTGAATGACCAAAAATACATTGTAAGAACAAAATCAGAAAGAAGATAATTTACTGTGTATCCACATCAGTTTTTATATCAGCTCCTTTCTTGATTGTTCCTCTCAATGAATGCATCATTTCAAGCCCATTTTATACAAGTTTTCTGAAACTACAGAGATAAAATATTTTTTATCTCTGTAGGATGCAGAAACCTAATCATTACCATGTAACAACAAATTCTTCCCAAGACCAAAGAGACCTTTCTGTTAATAAGAACTTAAATACTAATTTATAAGGGCTTTTACATCAGTAGTTATTCATTCATTCTCCCAAGTGGCAGGTATTGCCATCACTGTCCATCTGACTAATCAAAGGCTACACAGAAGAACTGCAGACAATTCACAGTGCCGCTTCCAAACTGGGTGTGTCATCTGGGAGATGATTGGAACAGGTTGCCCAGAGAAGTGGTGGAGTCACCATCCCTGGCAGTGTTCAAGAAAAGTGCAGATGAGGCGCTTCAGGACATGGTTGAGCAGGTTGGGTGTTGAAGGGTTTACAGTTGGACTCCATGATCTAGATGGTCTTTTCCAACCATGATTCTCTCACTCTCTAAGTATTGCAAGAGCTTGTGATATGACAGTTTTATTCTTTGCCACATTTTGCACTCCAACATTAGAATATCAAGAATATCAAAAAGAGTTACAGTAAAAACCTCAGTAAGAAAATCTCTGTGTGATTTCCAACTGTGACTGCGTTATCAGTCGTTCCACATTATGCACTTGGCTGTGTCATTTTGACTTGTAGGCACACCTCTCTTCACTCTACACCTCAGTGCACCACAGCCGAATCGCAGAACTGTTGCTTTCAGCACCAGTTTCCTGAAAGTAAATCTGTATTTCAGGGAGGTGGATGCCCTAAAGAAGTCCATAACCCAAACTTGCCTTCTGTGATTCCAGTATTTAAGTATGACAATTCCCATTATTTTTTCCTCCTAGTAGTCCCTTCTCTGGGTCTAACTGTTCAGCAACAACCTTGGCATTAAGGTGAAAACAAACATCCTGTCTAAAGAGACGGGTATGCACCTCGATTTAGCCCTTAGTTTCCTCATTTCTGTTAAGGGTTAAAAACCCATATATTTATTATTACTGAATACAAATTCTCTAACCTGCTTGGTTTTGCTTTTCTTTTTAGGACTTTTTTAAATTGTTAGGTGTTTGAAAAGCAGCACAGTTCAAAAGTTAATGTATTTGCACAATGTTTTGTTCATTTCCTACCTAGATAAAACTAGTAAAACCTTCTCAAATATAGATATAACATCATTTTTATATTATTTCTTTTAAAAAACATCCTGTTCTCTAGTTGCAGTTGCATTTCAAAAAGCAGATGAACTTCTCATAATCAACTAACGTCCATAGCTCAGTTGCAGACCCAGTAGCTAAAACTGATGATCACTTGTTCAAAATTCCCTTGTAAAAGTTATTACTCAGTATTTCATTAAAAAAATGATGCTGTAAACCTCATGTTAGTTAATAAAGACATAATTGCTGTAAAAACATTACCTACCTCTTATACTAGAAAAAGAATCAAAACCAGTGCCCTAGACACAGACGCAATAGTTCATAGTCGATATGATACCAGAAAGTTTTAGAATTAAGTTCGTAAAAGGGTCATTGATCACAGATTTCAGACGCTAAAACCTAGTATCAATATAGAGAAACAAATCTACCACTCTCTCTCTTTTTGAGAGATAAGCATAATAAACGCCTATGAGGGCAACAGTTAAAATTAGCCAAAGGCAATTCTATCTAATCCACTTTAATCTCTGATTTTCCAGAATCTCATTAGTGTTAATATTTTCACTTTCATTGTTAGACTAAATCAACTAAAACATTGAGGCAAGCACAGAACTCAGTGCAAGGAACTTCTTTGCAGTAACTTCCACGTTGACTTACGCATTAATTTTTCAGTACATGCATTAGCCTTTTCATCCAATCAATAGCTTACATTTAGCACAACACGATCAAGGAATTGTAAAAAGTAAAAATCAGTACAGGTTTAGTTGAATTCATTTAGTTTTATGTCATACCCATTTTAGTGGAAAGCACTGTCCAAAGAAATGGGATCAGATCCATATATTCTTTTGTATGTTACCACCAGAGAAGATAACACGTTGCATCATACATATATGCAAGAAGTAAATGTCCTTGTCCCTGCATCTTTTCTTTTTCCAGAGACACCCGAGATAACTTTGTGAATTTCAGAATGCAGTTACAGAGATTTTTTCATCCTTAGAACTAGAGATAAAACTAATTTTACACCAATCATGACACGACAACCCAGATTAATTCAGGTTATGCTGTTCTATTAAATCACAATATGACCAAGCACATTAGTGAGACGTGGGTGACTCTCTCTCCATTTTTATTTTAGGTACGCGGCACAGGTACGCGCCGCTCCTGCCAAATACAGCACCAGTTCAAGGAGCACCCAAAACGTGGCGGCAAACGTACCTAAGCCACCACAACGACCGCAGCCAAGGAGATTTACCACCAGCATTGAGCACACCACAGCGGCGGCCGTCGAGGACCGTCCTTTTTACCTTCAAACGGAGCCGCCCGACGCGCACACGAGGGGAGCGGTTTCCCCCGCACTCGCGGGGCTGCCCTTGCGAGGCTCCTTGCGCACAGACCCCTCCGCACTCGCCCTCCCCGCAGCCCGTTAAGGGGTTTAGGCTCCACCAGGCTGAAATGCGGAGGGGGGAGGCTCCCCGCGGCACCGAGGGAACCGAGCAGGCTCCGCTACCCGGGGCGCTAGGGACCCTTCCACCGTTGAACGGCACTAACGGTTACGCACCGGGCGGCAGTTAGCGGCGGTTAACGGCTCCCGCGCGGCGAGCGCAGCGGGGGAGCAACATCCGCTACACAGCCCGCGCGCGGCGAGCGGCGCGGAGACAGAGGGCGGCCGGCGGGCGCGTGGCCCGGGGCCCGAAGGCGCAGCCGGGTGCGGGGACGCCCAAGGGCAGAGACGGGCACAAGGACGCGGCGGGCGAGGCGGCGGCCCCGGCAGGCGCCCCGGGCGCGCCCCTTACCTGGCAGGAGGCGCCGCTGACCCCCGGCGGGCAGGTGCAGCGGTAGGCGGCCTGCGGCGGCTCGAGGCGGCGGGGCGCGGCGGGGCGCGGCGGCGGCGGCGCGGCCGAGCAGGTGCCGTTGTTGCGGCACGGCTGGCTGAGGCACGGGTCCTCGCCGGGGGGCGCGGCGCTGGCCGGCGCGGCGGAGCCGGCGCGGCGCTGGGCCAGGGCGAGCAGCAGCAGGAGCAGCAGCGCGAGCGGGGCGGCTCGGGGCATGGCGGCGGCGGCCGGGGCTCGGAGCCGCTGCGCTGCGGGCACCGGCGGCCACGAGAGGAGGAGATGGAGGCAGCGGCTCCGCGGCTGCTCCCTGCCCCCGTTGCCCGGGCAACGCTCGGGCGGGGCCGCGGCGGGGCGGGGCCGCTGCCTCGCGGCCGGTAGGGGGCGCCCGCGCGCGCAGCGCGGCAGCCGTTGGGCAGCGCGGCAGCCGTTGGGCAGCGCTGCTTTAAAGCTGCATTAGAACCAAAGCACGAGCAGGGAGCGTTAAAAGTGATGTCGGATTTCTCCTACTGACAGGAGAGGCGAAAAAAAAAAAAAAAAAAAAGACTAGATAGCATTCAATTTCTGCATTTTTTCCTATAGTGTTTTTTTAAACACAACTGATTTTTTTTTAAAAAATCGACTTGGATTTTCAAATCCTATCTATTTTTTCTACTTTTACTGCCTCTAGTTAGTACTGAGTCGCACGGACTTCCACACAGGCAGCATATCCCACGCACTCGCTCTCAGCTTTTATTCGTTTGCTACTACGAAAGGGAGGCTTTTAAATCCGTAGTAGTAACTAACGACTTCTCTAATCGCCGTCACGGGATTAAAGGAGAATAATGACGTCGTTGAAAGCAATGCGTTAAACTTTCCGTAAATCTGATCCCAATAAGCCTGAAACCTGCGTCATTGTCAGAGATAATTGGCAATGCTAATTGAACTGAGCTGCAAACTCATCTGGATTTTTAGCAGCCTGAATACAATTAGATCTCCACACCCAAGCTGAAAAAACTGTCATTGCTTTTCCATTACCTCACGCGACTTTTTTTTTTTTTTTTTTTTTTTACCTTCCCTACCCTCTCCCGCGTGCGTCCCGTGCCACGCCGGCTCCCTCTGCTGGCTTCTTCATACTTCGGTTTCCCGTTTCACAGTTCAGAGTTTCCAGTGTCACAGTTCACTCAAGTAGGTCTGATTTCACTCCCCAGGTAACAGAGGGTTCTGGTGTTTACTGCATCATATAGACACTGTAGTAATACAGATCAATGCATAAACTCATGTAAAACACATGTGAAAGCTTCAAATGAAGTTGCTCTGTTTTGCAACTGTCCTCTCCTTAAGGTTACTATCCACTAAGATGGGGAAGGGCTGTTAATAGTTGTACAGATCCGATATTTCCATTTAGGCATGGAAAAAGTAAGTTAGGCAAGATCAACATTTTCAGCCTCAGACACAACACAGATCGTTTGCTGCACTATTACGCTGATTCTGCTTGGTACTGTGCAATGTATGTTATTAATATCAACTGAAAGTTAACGGAAGGAGACTCAGGAGTTTCAATGCTTTAGTGCCATCTGCAAAGGGAGTGGATGCTCAGCCAGTCAGTGTTGGAGTTACTGACAGCCTGTTAGATATTACATTCAGTGTCTCTTAAAAATTTTTGAAAATAAAATTGTATTTTAAGACAAGTTCGGGAAGATTTTCATTGAGCCTCCCTCATAAATCAAAGAATCTCCCCCAGGTACTTTATGTCAATATTGTAAGACAAACATAAATGGTAGTTTGTTTGTTTGTTTTTAAGACTCCAGGCAGTGAAGAGTTTTTCTCAAAAAAATTAAGCCTTAGTTTTAATCTGAATATATCTAGCTGCATCAGTCATCCTTTGGATCTTATTTTACTTTTCTCTGACAGATTAAAGAGCCATCTGCTTCCAGAATAATTTCCTCTGCGTAGCATTTTTACTGCTGTAGGTCAGTCTACACTATGCTCAAACCATCTGCTTCACATGCTTTTAGATGAACTAAACATCTTTTGGTCACTGTATTTATCAAGCCTTATGCACCACAGACATAAGGCACAGGCACCATGAACATTTCATGGCAATACAAATGAGCACTCACTGTTACTCAGTATATAATCAGTCCGATTACATTTTCTTTATGCATTTATATCGGATTAACTACTCTGTTTCTGGCAAAACAGACATTGTGTTTGCATACTGTGGACCTCTAAAAACTGTATAGCAAAGAGGCCAACATTTTTTTCCCTTATATTTTTTAAAAAATAATAAATGCCAAACTATGTAACTGTCATATACACATAAGTTGCAGAAAATAATTAGACATAAGACCTGATGTGAAATTTATTATTAATGCAAATAGAAATAGAAATTATGCTTTCACTATTCCTTGCTGGTATGTACTGTATGTTAGGTGCTCATGAGGCCGCCCGCAGAATTATGTAAGAATGGCTGTATCAGATTGGCTGTCAATGTCTTTTGGGACCCGAGTACCCAGTGTATAGATAGATATATGGCATCTGTGCATTAGTGTTCAGTCTTTGAGGTCACCAGAGAGAAGGTGATCTACAGCATGTCATACCTCAACTAAAACATCCTAGGGAGAGGCTTGAATAGGCCAGCCCCATTTCTCCTGTGACGCTGTCACACTTTAAAGCAAACCCTTCATTATCAACTCCTATTCATATCTGCAAATAATTGTCGACTTTAGATCACTTTTTACAGGTATAGGACTACAGATAAAATTATTTTAACCATAAGTTTGCAGGAAAATGGATCTGACATTTTTAAGTAACTTATAACTGGAATTGTTTCTTATACTAAGTTTCATACATATATACACACGCACAAACCTGATTAAAGTGATTATTTTAAGGTAACAGATAAAGTGAAAGAGTTTTGAAGGTCTTGGTTTGCTTTCTTTCCAGAAAGCAATAATTTGACTAAACCAAATACAAGTTTTCAACCAAAAATAGAATCTCAGTTATAGATAAAAATCCACTCTTATGTGGATTTTTTTTTTATACTTTGCATGGTCAAAAAGACAAGATGCTAATTCCTTCTCATTGCAAAAAGAATATGTCAGAAATAGTCAGTTTTATGTCATCCCTTCCACAGTCTCAGCTACTTGCATAGATGCTCTAGCCCAGCCTCTGGAGGAAACAACACTGTTCAGAGACCCAGCAGCCCAGCACCGAGCCCTGCTGCGCATAGTCCAGCAGCACATGGAAAACATCTAACTCCTGTTGCTCAAAACGGAAAGGCACAGAGTAAACCAAAGCTTCCTTAAATGACATATTAGGCAAGATCCCTATGGCTATGTTGAATTTGTCAGTAATTTTTATAAATGGTCTGGGCCAAATAAGAAAAATAATTGTGTTGACTATAGTATCTTACTATAAAAAACATAATGGAATATGCAGATTTACTCTTTGGAATGTGCTTTTGTTGGTATTGTATAATACAATGCAAGTTTTGTAGTCCAGATTTATTAACAGTCTTTAAGATTATATGAAACATACTGTTAAGTCTAAAAGCCATGATTTTGATCTTCACATTGATTTGGCAGTTTGAGAACAGAAGATTTTAAGACTAAGAAACAAATAGGCGGACCTCACAAGAGAAATAACAGAAAGCAAGTGTCTTTGATAAAACGCTTTTGTTAACACCTACTTAAACAACTGCAATTATTTTTTTTCTATTGAGAATTTTCTAAAAAGTTAAATCATTGCTACTAATTTACAGTTATAGTTTCTTTTTTTCTTTTTCTTTGTTTAAAGCTAACAAGAAAAAAAAAAGGAAGAAAGTCCTTGGTGGCTTTTTTTTTTTTTTTTTTCCCTCCTTCCTACAACACGGATAACAGATCAGTTCACTGTACTCACAACCACATTGTGTTTGATGCTGTACACAGAAAGAACAAGAAAGCTCCCTGTTATGAAACACTTACCATCAAAGCCCCAGAGAAGAGAGCCAGAAAGATGACAGAGCATAAAGGACACAACCTGAGAGGCCATAACCACAGATAACAGTCATCACTTACCATCATTTACCATCATCAATTTTGAGCAAACCTTTTGGCAAAGCTTTTTAAAGGCCAAGATAACTAAAGAATATGCACAGATGCCAGAAAAACAACAGGAGAGGGAACAAAGCTTCTTGTTTGGACTGCTGAGACAAGAACTTTATATTGATGGAGCTGAGAAGAGGCAGCTATGAAATAAATATGAACAGATGGTTGCACAAGCAAAGCAGCAGACTAGCAGTGATCTGGATAGTTGTCCACTGAATGGGAATACACAAAGTTGTCTTTAGTCAGGGAAAAAGTGAAGTCTAAAAAAGAAAAAAAAGCCGATTATGTAACAGGTTTATCTTTGGAATATGTATGTGGATATAAGAAGATCTCTTGAGCACAAAGCATCAGCACATTTAGATCCAGTATAGATGGGAGAATGTAATTATGTGGCCAGACTGACAGGACAGCTGTACTGATTGCACAAACTTGGGAAATGTACAGGGACATGCTTGGGAGACTGATTGAGGGCCTTGCCTAGGACACGGTAAGAAGTAGTACATAGCATATCTGAAAGATCACACTGTTACATCAGAAAGTAGCTGTCTTTAAGCATCAACCTCACTAAGTCACAAAGCATAAAATGTTGCCTCTCTAGCTTTAACAATTTTTATTTTTTTTCACTGTTATTCATAAAGACAAATGTTTTTCTCCAAAACTGCATTAATGAAGATTGTGTGGTGAATCCATGAATATCTCTCACCAAATAACCAATACAAAACTTGAAGTCCTTAACCTCAATACCTTTCTCCTTCCTCAACCCATGCTACTATGGGCATGCATGATCTATATTAAGTCAAATTACCAGGTGTCACACAAGTACCAAAACCAACACCAAATGATTTTGAGAGTCTGAATGTACAATGCTCTCAGAAAAATGTGCATCTGATGCCAAATAGCATCAATGTTGTTGATCAATTAAATATTGCATACAACAGAGGACAGGACTGGGGGAAATGCTGATTTCAAGAAAGAGGTTAACCAAAATATTCCTGGTTTGACTACACAGGAGAAATAATGATCTGTGGAAAAAAAGTGAGGAAAAGTTTTTTGGGAAAAAGGGTCATCTCCAGACTGGCTCCCAGCCTGCATCATCTGCTTGCCAAAGGGTCTTTTTTGTATAAGATGACTTAAAGAAGAACTGTAGCA